AACTCACAATTATAGCTTCATTATAAATAAACATTTACTTTGATATTATATGTGTAGAACGGTTTATTAAAATGATATTATATGTTAGATTATCAAATGTTTACTCACCAGGGTAGCAAGTTCTTCTGGTCTTCTGGCAATTAGCAGCACAAATAGCCCGTCAGGTTTTGTCATTAGATGTCAAAGCTATAGTGCGCATGTCTTGAAACTCATATAGCAAAAATACTGTTAAGTTCCCTTAACCACTTTATAAGCTTGTTTCATTATATGAATTAAATCATTAATTTCCAAATGTAGTTAAAGAAAAAAGAGAATGTTGGATAAAAGGAAAAAAATATTAATAGGAATTCAAATAAAAAAGTACACTAAGAAATAACTTGACATGGGCAAGTAAAATATTGTGTTTAAGTTTAAGTGCCACTGCTACATACTATTTACCACATTGTAAACGGAGACCCACCCCCAGCACTCAACCTAAACTGGTCCGGGTCTGCATGGGCATACCCTTATGGTCCGTAATCGGGCCGAATGTAGCTAAATGTGCCGTGTCTCAGTGCAAATCGGGCCAGATCTGTCAACCATTACTGGGCCAGAGCTGGCCCACTTTTGGTGAGCCGCTGCCAGAACACAGCCGAGTGAGCCGACACTCAGCCGCAATTGGCCCGATTGCGCTGGCTACCTGGGACAGTTGTAGGGAAATCTGAACAATAATGTTTTAGTCCATGGTAAAGTGTAATTCCATGGTAAACTTTACTCAACAAACCAGCTGGCTTCTGAACACACCTATGAAATACAATATGTGCACTAAAACATCATTAGAATTTGTATGAACATTGTTTGCATACTTACATTATTATTCATCACAGAAGTGTGCATAACTTCTAGAAGTCATAAATGGTCTTTCTTGCCCAAATATTCAAGAGTTGCTTTGTGCAGGTCCACATGTCCGTAGTTTTAATAAAATTGAAGTCAGGCTCATGTAAACAAGCCTGGTCTCATTTTAAAGTGCCCCTATTATGCCATTTCACATCTTGCCTTTCATGCAGTGTGTAATATCTAATCTCGGGGAGTTTAAAGTGTGATTCACAAAATGCTTGCTCTTGAAAGATGGCTCAGTACCCAGTTTATTTGGACCAGCTGGCTTCACTGAATCACAACCTGTAAAGTATGATAAATAATAGATGTTTATATTTTCTATTGAGAGTTCAAAATAGGAACTATGACAATGGGCGAATCATTTCGATACCTGCTGTATGCAGTAGACCAATCACAACAGACTGGGCCATCAGACCAATCAGACCAATCAGAGCAGATTAGGCTCACGGGGAAAGGAGAGGTTTAGAGAGACTGAATCTTAGAACTGCTTTGAATTAATCGTATGAGAATCATTGGAAAATAAGGTTATATTAAAAGCATATTGTGATAAAACTAAAGCATTTTATGACCTTGTATGCATGTAAACCTATTGTAGGAGACTCCCAAAACAATATTAGCAACCTCAAAAATGGCATAATAGGGGCACTTTAAATACTGATGTTTATAAACAATGTGTAAACAGATGGGTGCATCACCTGCATTTATGACTGCGTATCTGAATAGTATGTACCTGCACTAGATATGAAATCAAATCAGGCAGCTCGTGCGTAGTAATGTAGTTCATGTGGAATTGGTTATGCTGTTTTCAGTAGCTTTACTTTAAGACTCCTAATGTTTCGTCTCGTCCTCGTATTTCCTTTTCCAATTATTATAAACCTGAAATTATAGATCCAAATGGCAGTATTGGCTTGGTTGAATGTTCAAATTTAGTAGATTATCCCAGACACCAAAGTAGGTCATTAGACAAAGTGATGTGGAGAAACAACAGGATACTTGAAAACAGTCACAGGTCTGGATATATTCAAAATTAGACATTGTCTCTCTATGAGGCAGTATATGAATGTGTGTTTATTAGACTGTGATCTCCAGCTTCACTGAAACTTGTTGAAACTCCCCTGAGGGCAGCAGCGGAGTGAACAAACCGGTCGGTTGGTATATTTGCATATGATGAGCTCATTAACATGCCACAATATTTACATGTTCAAAGCGGATGTGTCCTGTGTAGGAACAATGTGAAAACTTATGTAATCTTTTTATGTACCAATATCCCACTTAGTCACAATATAATTTGTCAATTAGGTGGTTCTGGGGATCTTGGTGCATTTATAATGGCAAAAATATCAAAATTAATGCAATCACTGTGCTCTCCCAGCTGATGTAAGTATCAGGTCCAAAAATATGTAACATAATTCTCCAAACATGTAATATTATGAATTCAAGAGAACTTAATTGAATTTAACCCTTCTACTTTTTCCTTCCACCCACTTCTGATTTCCCTCATATGTTGTTAGCCTAACTTTGCAGAAATACCTTTTGTTGATCTTCTAATGAAATTAAACCAGAGAGCTTTGAGTTCAGTTCGATTTAACAGCTAGCCTGCATTCACAGTGAAAGCTGTTCTAATAGCATTTCTAACAAACATGGTTCATTTACCTTCATGTTACCAATGTCTAACATTTAACAAATAGTTTTCAGGATATGCATAGTATACGGGTGTCTCATTTTACATTTATCCACCATAAGTAGTCTGAGAAATATATTTACACTGAAAAGATGTTACCCAGATGATGTGTATGTTGTAAGCTAAAGTGCTACATGTGCTAAAGCTAACAACAACACTTTCTTATTTGTGATTTCTCTGACTATGAACACTTCAAAGTAGTAATAAATCGTTTGTGTTATATTTAACATAGTTCTACCCTTTGAAATTTCACACACACACACACACACACATATATATATATATATATATATATATTCAAGTACCTATAGTACATTCATTAATTGAGACACGCAACATGCATTTGGGATTAATCAGAGCAGCTGTGT